TCAATTCTCTGTAATTGATTTAAAATTTTACACAAGATACGAAGAATATGTTGATGATATGAGAAGAGAAATCCCTGAAAAGTATGAGAAATTTAAGATATACTTTTCATTCTTGGATGCACATATACGTAGTTATTATAATCTGTTTCACGATACAATATGGTATTACAGTAAAGCAGGTACATTTGACTTATTGCTCTGGAGAAGAAAGCAATATGAAGAGGATTTTGAGTACACGATAGGAGTTTTGAATAAAAATTTTAGTTATATCTATCTGTTGGACTATAATGATTTGTTGGATTATGCTGAAAATAAGTTAGTATTTTAAATGTAATTTTTGTAAATAATTTATTTATATTTAATTTTTTTGTAAATAAAACATGTGATTGTACATGAAATTTCTGGTATGTTCTATGATGATTATGTTTGTATAAATCTGAAATTAGTAATCTGATTGTATGAATGTGATTTAGTATAATTTCCTAATGTAGATGATTATCCAGTCTACAATTAATAATTTTTATTGTGTAATTAACAGTACAAATATCCACACTTGTACCCAATTTCATGATTTTTTTTCATCCTTTCGTTCTTTCCTATGATTGCTTGTTAAGACTGGGGAATACGTAGTACTTTTAGTATTCATGCAGTGTTGACACATAAGATATCTATGTTCTTTTCACAAGAATTTAGAGAAGAGTACTCATCTTTTCACGTCTTTATAGGAAGGAAGAACTGGTCATTTTTTATTATTTCAGATGGTCGTTATTAAGTTTTGGCCATTTGCTTTCCACCTCAAGAGCGAAAGAAAAACTTAGTGTTGCATTCAAATGCACCTTGAGAAACATCTCAAGGAACGGACGTGTTTAAGCTTTTTTCTACCATAGAAGAGTAAAAAGCACTCTCAATACAAGATGTCTTCGGGCATACTATAAGGGTTCACCGGTTAAATCCTAGAGCTCATAACAATGAGGTGCAACTTGGTTTACTCTTTTAGGCTTTTGGGAGCTGAACCTGACAAACAAAAGTCAAACTTTTTTACAAGAGTTTTACAATTAAGGGACATCACATTTTATGGTCTGGTGGCCGTTTTGTCTCTCGCCAGTTATTTGAAACCTCCGAATAGATTGTTTGCTCTTTCTTTTTTTACATGCAAGACGAGAAATACCTCTATGTGGTTTGCATAACAAGTAGTATATTTTTTGAATATGTGAAACTAAATTTTCTCAAAATTTTAATAAAGTTAAAAATATATAAATTTCTGAGTTTTGCTTAAAAAATTGGCACAATGGTACCATGATTTTTTCATCACTTTCATCAAAAACATAGAAACGCCTAACCGAACTAAAACGTAAAAATACGATATCTCCACGAGTTTTCATCTGTTTGATCTGAAATCTCACAGACGAACTCTCGAATCCCATCTCTAAAACCTTTGTTAAAATCGTACAACATGTTTCATTTTACTGTTGTTATCAAATTGATTGATACATTCCTGGTAAATTTACGAAAACATGCCATTCATGTTTACAAAAAATGTGATATCTCCGTGAATTTATGTTCGTTTCACCTAAAAATTGAGATTCAAGTGGCTGAACCTTCACGCTAAAAGTTTTGTTATTACATATCTTGAGAGTGGCATAGTGAGGTTTTCCATAAAGGATCGCTATACATTGGGCGTTCTTCGAAATGACTGTTTTACACAAGAGTCGAACAAAAAATTCGATATCTTGATGAGTTTTTGTCTGAAATGTGTCAAATTCTGACTACCTAACTTCAAATATAAAACAACACATTATATGATAACACCCGATGCTTATTCATCACACCCTTTCAAAAGTCGCCATCTAATTGTTTATAGTGTTTAAAAAATCGGCTTCAAATTAAATTCGTATCACACCCACTATGATTTTTTTAAAAAATATTCGTCACACTCTTTCAAAAGTCGCCGTCTAATTAAATCTGAGTTTATCTAGACGGATAAACCATTTTTCCATGATTTTTTACTATTAGATAAAGCCGGGATAGGGGTGTGACGCATCAAAAAAAGTTGCCATTATAGGGGTTGGATCTGGGGGGTTGTAGATCTGGATGGTTTATCCGAATGTGGTTTATCCGAGGTCCCGTTTCAGCTTTTTCTAAGTTACCAAAATGACCGTGATGGATACCTACATGCAAGCACGCGGTTATCCGTCTGGTATTCTGGAGAGGACTGTGTAACATTGGAAAAGCGTCACTCCGCTTATTTAATTAGCACTACGCTTCACAATGATAATAAAAACTTACAAAGTTAAAATTTAATTATACAAGTGGCATATCAAAAGAGCTATTATGTCATGGTTAGCAAGCAATAAAGAACCTAGAAATATCTCATTCAATCCACTATCTGAATTTGGCACTCAATTTCTATTCAATGGTATCATCCAATCATCTAAATTCTACCCCAAAGAACACTAAAAAACAATTTGAAATATAATGGAGAAATATCTTCATCAATATTCATTAATTTTTATATATGATAGCTAATTTATTACTAGAGAATTAATATGTGAGACTGCAATTTAAGAGTTATATTTTTTTTGTAAAAATAATTTATTAATTTCACTTTGGGGTTATCTATAATATGAATAGTATAGCAATTAATGGTGGTGATTATAGGCAAGATCTACTTGCGAAAATAAAATATTTATCCTCAAGATCATTATGTTTGTAGAAAGGTACTGGAAAGTTATAAAGAGAGATTTTCTTTATAAATTCTTTAGGCCATGTCTTGATTTAGTGGTATATATTTTAATGATAAAAGTAATAAATCAACAAACAAGAAAATTATAGCAAATACTAACTAGGAGAGAAAAACCAGAGTGGATAAACCAATTTAAATTGGAATGGAAAACCCTATCAATGCATACTATTAATAGAATATATATAACTAATATAGATCATATCTAACTAGCCAGTTTGGTATTTGCAAGTATTTGGTCTAACAAAAAAAACTAGTTTCTAGTAAATTTTTCTGTTGCATAAGAAGAAACTATTTTTAACTAAAATTAAAAATAATTTTAATCTTTCTAAAATACAATTAAATCTAATAAGTCAGGTTATTTTTCATAGTGATATCAAAGATGATGATCCAAATAAAAATAGTAATAAAATTTATGATGATTAATAACTCTGACGACAAAAACATTAATACTTCTTGAGAAGCAAAAGGCAACAGGCAATATTGAGTAAATTAAAAATATAAAAAAGTATTTTGATCCAATAAGTAAAATGGTTAAAGAAATAGAACAATATAAAAGAAAATGAACTTTACTTTTAATGTGAAAAGGTTATATTAACAATATACTCTTTTTAGAGTAATTCAACTTTTTAAGATATATATACTAGTCTTTGTATAATTTTTTTTTAATAAATATTAATAAATATACAAAAAAAAATAAACCAAAAAAATAAATAAAAAAATACATAATATCTGTATTTTATTCTTAAAAGTGCAATTTTTTTCAAGTACAGTTCTTTTTATTAATTGAGATTAGAGGTTTTGTTGTATATTGTGTAAAACAACAACTATGAAAAAAAATTTTGTGTATATTGTAATTATAAAAAATTTTGTTAATAATAAGTTAGAATTTTCTAATTGGTAGATATTTTACATGATCAAGAAAAATTTGTTGCTGATGCTGGAAAAGATATTTACAAACTAAATATTCTACAGACAGAGCTTAAGGACAGATAGAAACAGAGAGGAATCATATAATTTGTTAATTAGTGGTTAGGGTTTATGGATTTTAATAATATCATGTGATTCTGCTCTGTTTTTAAGCTCTGTTTATAGAATTTCCACTTATGAACACGTACTAATCATGTGATATTAATTTATCAACATAGTTATTACTATTGCTATCTTATAAAATATAATTTTAACAAAAGGATATTTTATAAATTAGCAATTTAATTAGCTATCTTAATCAATTAAATATAAATACAATAAGATTAAAAAGTATTTATAATTTCTGGGTTTAATATTATTACTCTTTTTTATTATGCTAAAAAATAAAATTAAACAATATATTTATAAGATATAATACTTTTCTTTTATTTTATTTTTTTTTTTTTTTAATATTAAGGTAACTACTTAGGCCCCGGCACTTAGCTTTATTCAGATAAATACGATATTATATCAATTTCACGAGAATACAACTAGCCACACATGTACTTTTGGTACCTTATTTAAGTAGTCCGCCTGGGTTCTACACTAGCCACCATACTTGCAATCTAACTAGGAGATTATCTATTTAAGCTCTCTGGTTATTTCTAATGAGAGTACGACTAGCTATATATGCAATTTTTGGTTGTCTATTTAAGTAGTCTGCCCTAGGTTCTACACTAGCTGCTATATTTATAACCCAACTAGGAAGTTACCCATTTAAATCCTCTAGCTACCACTTTTGTAACATGCCTACCTAATACTCATACAAGATTAGCAATTGTTATGGATAACCCTAAGACTTTAGCCAAACCATATTGGGGTATTTATTCTTGTAGTAAACCTAACAGAATAGTACATGTTCTACCCATGTATTCACCTGCATGTTCTGGTAACTTTTACCTAACTAGTACCTGTTGTGCTGCTACCATTGGGTTTGTATCTCAAGCTATCTTTTCGGATACTGCTATAATCTGATCTGTATCTCAAGCCACAACTTTTCTAATTAGGATCTTGTTACATACTTCTTGTCCTTGTGAGGTTCACAACAACTCCAGTACCCACATTCCAACTTTCTTTTTTCTTGAATTCCTTACTGGTCCCTCTCTTACTTCCAGCTAGCAACCTGAAAAGGTTGGTCTGCCCAGGCTTTAGGTGCTTCACAGTCACCCTCCTCTTGGTATATGCTTCTGGAGTACAAGTTTTTTTCTTTAGTTGGCGGTCTGGCAGTTTAGCTAGTATATTCCCCCGCTTAAGAATCTGGTCGTTTGGTTCTCTGGTCTCAGTTCTTGGTTTCAAATTTGGCCTTCCTGTAGTACTGTCAAAGATTACTGCTACTCTACACTCAGAACTTGCCAAACAAGTTTTTGGCAATTCTGGTTTTCTAGATTTATTGCACCAAAGCTCCCATTCGAGATAGTGTGACCAAGATTATAAATATCTGGATCCAACCAATAATCTTAACGTTAACTGATACAGATCTAGTTTTTTCAAAAGCATTGTCTGTGAGATTCGAACTCTAGATCTGCTATCTGGGGTGCGACAACTCCACCACTTTACTAAGTCACCACACCCTAAAATAATAAATATATAAATTTTTATTAATATTTATTATATATATAACTAATAAATAATAATTCTATAAAATACTGTAATTATTATTTATCCAATCAAATATAAGCTAAGCAAATATTATATTTTAATTGCTGCATTACAGAATTTAAGGCCTTATAATAACACTTCTTTATATAAGAAATAAAATTAGATGTAATTAACTTTGGATGATTAAAAGAAATTTTCTATTTTGTTAATAGCCACAAAATAAGCCTACTTATTATTAAAAAATTTATAGCTTCTAAAAAATCAACTAATACAAGTTTTGTAGTTTCACAATAAGAAAACAATATATTAACAATATTATGTTCCTTAATATTTATTGTTTTATTAATGATTATTACAGTAGGTTTTTCACTAAATATACTATATAAGATTTTTAAATGTTTTTAAAAAATTATTAGTAAGTATAACTAATATAAAATATCTAATGCAAGCATAGCACTACTTTTTTTACAATATGTATTCAAAAACTTACAAAATTTGTTGAGTTTTTCTATTGATATATTGGCTACAACCCATGTGGTAAGAAGGTTATAAACAACTTCTTTTTTTTTATCTGCTATTAGAGATAATAGAAGCCACTTTTGTCATGTTTGTTATAGTGATTTTAGGAAATCTTTGTATTTTTTTTTTTGTGTTTTACTATTTATATATATAGTAAAATAGGACTTATTATCATAGTTAACACTATGGTTACAAAACCGGCATATAAGTTTTTTAGAATCTAAAACAAAATGCTCTAAAAACTTTTTTGTATGGGTATAAGTAGTGACTTGTTTATTGGTGGCTATTTTTTATTTTTTATTTTCTTATTTGTGTGTGTGTTCAAAAAAAAACACCAACACCAGCCTCTCTTCTTTCATACAACTTTTGGTCAAAAAATCTTAGAATGTCAATAAACTCTCTATATTGTATTCAAAGAATAAGCTATATGAAATTTGATATTTATATGCAACAGCTGATTTTTTTGGCTAGGTCACATACATATTGTCTTATTTTTATTGGCCAAATCACATGCCTATTGTTCAATTTTTATTGGCCAGATCATATGCTTTTTAAAAATCAGGCAAAAATTTAAAAAAATTTGGCCAAAATACAAAAATTTGGAAAAATTTAGCCAAAATACAAAAATTTGGAAATATTCAGATTAGGCCCAAAAATTTGGAAAAATTTGGAAAAATTTATTTCCAAAATTTTCCGTGTCCCTGTTTACATGTAAACAACCAATCATAATTAGTAATCCTTTGTATAACCAGAAGAAAACATATAGTATATTGTATTAATAAATTTGAATTCATCATCACTTTTACCCGCTTTATGAGTATCTACCTAATCTTTAAATGTATGAAATTAATTAATTTTTTTTGTATAATTATTTGATTTATAAATTCTTTTATATGTGTTTGCTGTTACCTTTGGTCACTGCGGAGTCTTATTCAAGAACCTCATTTTTAAAAATTGAATAGTACCGGGTACTATTCATGAATCCAGCAATCTCATTTGTGAAAAAGGGGTACTTTATGGGAATTGTATACAGCGACAGCGATAGTATTAACTAACGAATTCTTTTTAAAAATTATGTGAGTGATCACGGGTAGATCCATAAAAATTGACCAATTAGACGAATTTCTCCCTAAGATAAACAAACACGAGTTAAACCCCGTAAACAATATCTTCATAAAATCCAATACACTGTACAAATTTAAACTATTCCATAATGGACGAAACGTTTACTAAAGATCTAGCTGGAGATTTTGAAAAGTTATATGAATCCAAAGAACGCTATGACACAATTATCACTGTTGGAAAAGAACCAAATGTTGAACCAATTTATGCACATTCTGTAATTCTTTGCACTAGATCACCTTATTTTCGTAGAGCATTATCTGATGAATGGGCTGAAAAAAAGGATGGTTATTTTATTTTATCCAAACCTAATATAAGTGCATTAATTTTTAATATTATTCTCAAGTAAGTAATATATTAAAATTTTATAAAAATTATTTAAGATTCTAATTCCGTATTATATATATATATATATATATTTGAATAGATTTTTGTATTGTGGAATAGTGGATTTGAATAGCCAAAAAGTTGAAATAATTTTAGAGCTTCTAGTTGCTGCAGATGAACTTTTAATTCAAAAACTTATTGACTTTATTCAAGAATTTTTAATCAAAAATATTGGTAAATTCTTACAAAAAGATATCATTAAAACGGTTCATTTTGTTGCTCACAATAACCAATTTAATGAACTTAAAGAAGCTTATTTGAAGATCATTTGCGACGATCCTTACTTCATATTTAGTACAGAGGAGTTCTTTCAGTTAGAAGAAGAAGCACTAAAATTAATTCTTAAATGTGATAACCTCAATATGAAAGAAATTGAAATTTGGATTGCACTAGTTGAATGGGGAATCAATCAACAAAAAAAACTTAAAAGTGACATGATGTGTGAAGACACTAATAGCGAAGACATTAATCCACTAGGAGAGACATTAGGTGAATTAATTAAATTCATTAGATTTCATCAGATGGATCGTGAAGAGTTCATGCCCGAAGTGTGGAAATATAAGCACCTTCTTTCGGAACAGTTAATTGAGGATATACTTAGTTGTTTATTAGATTCTGATTTCAAACCATTATACAACACATTTCTCATTAGATGGGGCAACTTTCAAATCGACTCAGTATTAATTAACAAGGAGATTGCATTATTATTGATGAAATGGATAGATAGAAAAACTATAGATGATAATACTTCCAAAGGATTTCATTATAGCTTTAATCTTCTTTTTCGAAGCAGTCTAGATGGTCTTTCTTCAAAAACTTTTCATCGAAAATGTGATAACAAAGGAGCAACAATTGTTGTTGCGAAAGATCTAAATTCAAATTATCTTGTTGGTGGTTACAATCCAATTAGATGGAATTGTAAAAAAGCATGGAAACAAACAACAGACAGCTTCTTATTTGCCTTAGATCAGACTGACTTCAAAAACGCAAAAGTGTCACGCATTAAGCATCTTGATTGTAGTATTGTTTGCAGTGAAGGTTTTGGTCCACTTTTCGGAGAAGGTGATTTATACGTTACAAACAACGATAACACCTGGCAACTTAAACCAAAATGCTACCCTAGTTTGTTAAGCGTAAGTTCACTCACAGTCTTAGATTATGAGGTCTTTCAAGTAGTTAGCAACGTTACAGAGAAATCGGCATAAAAGAAAACATTTGATTGGATTTTTACAATAGTCTCTGGTTTTTTGTCATCCCATAATAATAAATAAATTTCAGTGAGAAAATTCAATTCTAATATTTGCACCCGATGTTAATGTATTTTATTCCCTTTTTATACGTAATTACAACACTTTCTCGTAATGCTTGTTATATATATATTTGCATGATAATAATGGATTTCTTTGTTCCTTGCATGCAAAAATTTTTTTTTTATTCCAAACTCTTAAACCAATCCATTAATAAAAATACAATA